CACACACACACACACACACACACACACACAGAACACTCTGGAGGTCAGTGCACCCACATACACACCACTGATGTCACTCTCAAGAGAAGAGGTCAAAACACACATACGCATGCAGCCAAAGAGGAGGTCATTGGGGCCTTAATGAGAGACAGATTGCAACAATAACAGCAGATTAAGAAGGCATATTCCTGACCACTGGGTTCCAGTCAGTTGTAAATGACTCAGAGGATTATGCTAACAGGTCACAGAATGGGCTGCACAGCATGGGATGAGAAGATTAACAAAGGACCTATGTCCCCCCTGGCCTGCAGCCCCTCTGCTGGGCCACAGTTCAGGCAGTGCCACACAGGTTCCTGCACTCAGAGCCGCTGCATTGTCAGGCCACAGAGAAAAAGTAAGCCAGCCTGCCACTAATTCACCGTAAACGTATATAGAATTTTGTGTTGAATCCTATAATTAATGTTAAAAGTTCTCAGAGGATTTGATCAGTAAAAACTCTGAATGCACTGTAACCAGTTCTGTACAACATCAGTAATAACATCAAATAAAGAGAATACACTTACATACTGCACCCTTCAGGCCTGAAACATTCCATATTCATCGACAGTATTGATTAGGATATGGAAGCTGTGGACTAATAAAGGGAGGATACATCCATGCCACTGCTGTGATGTGCTGCTGTTTAGTGGAGTCTCCCGCTGATTGTTGACGTGATTGTTTGTGTTTGAGTAAACAGAGAGGCTGGCAGCCTCTGCTTTACATCAGACCTCAGGTTGTGTTAATTAACTCTGTTGATTTACACACTCTTGCATTTGTCAGGATCTTTGTGTCACTGTAAAGAGACTCAACTCTTAGGGGTCATAAATCACTCTGTCTTCCTGAAAAATAGAGCCCCTCCTTCCTCTGGGACTGTTGTTATGTCCGTCAGGCTTTTACTATAGCCGCTTTCAGACATGACCTCCAGAGACTGTCCGGAGAATTGGGTCCAGACTTTCTGTGGATGTGTCTTTTCACACATATGCAGCAGGAGCTTCTCTGCTCAGACAAGTTCACAAGAACACACAACTCTACAGAGCATTCAGGCGAGGGGTGGTGCAGCAGGCAGAGGCAGGATGTATACGTATACCCGCGTGTCGGCCCTTATCACCAAAAGCTCTCTTCCCATCTTCGTCAGTGGTCCTGTCAAGTGGGGGAACTGTGCTGTGTTGTCACATCGTCTCCTCTGGACGTTCTGTGGACTTTATATCAGGGGACAGCCAGAGAAAGTCTGCAGTCTCTACAGACTTTCTCCCATCTGGCCTTCTAGTATAAAGTCAGTGGATCCCCGCTGGAATCACCGTGAGCCAGTGGGGGTGGGGGTTGATGATGCTTCTCGCAAGTGACAGACGCAAAAATGAAAAAATCTAAAAGAAAACAATTTTCTCCTGGTGAAAAAGTGCAGACCTACACGTAGAAGACACAGACGAAGATGTCAAGTGAGTTTGTGCTGAGAAGAGCCAACACCAGTCTGGTGAGCGTTTATACGTCACTTCCTGCCTCCGGTTGCTGCTCCCAACGGCTCCACCTCTCGCCTGAATAATGTGGAGGATTTGTGTGTTCCGTTTTGAACTTGTCTGTGCAGAGAACCTACTCCGTGAAAAGGAAACTCTGGGTAAACTCTGTAGCCAATTCTCCAGATTTTACCTGCTGGTCATGTCTGAAAACAGCTATGCAGCCCCTCTGGAGAATGTCTGGAGGCTCTCTGGAGTTCACCATGTTTTAAACCAGCTTGACCTTCACTTACACCATATACAAGGACAACGGTGGCAGATTTGACTTACTTAAAGTAATAGTAATTTTCATTGCAATGAAGCTGAGTTCGAAATGACTTTGACACTATTGTCTACATAATAAATACTTTGATTTAAATAATTTGCATTTTTGCCATGCCATTTTCCGTTCCTTTTGGTTGAATATCGAGAGCTCAGGATTAGTATGCTTATAAAATGGCAGGTGTTACATGTAGTGCATTGCAAAGTAAATTTTTGTGACCATGAGCGTCGTTGGCTGAGCTTTTAACCATTGCTGGCAGATTTTGCGATCCCAGATTTGTCATTTATATTGATAGAGCATAACATGGAAGGCAAAAAGTGTAGCTTTGACTTCAAGAAAGGTAATTAATTGACTTTTAATAAAGAAGCACCTAGTGGTTGACGATCTTGATGACAAACTGCCCACAGCTTTACTGATTACTCCGATGGTTACACGTATTATTATTCAGCGTTTCAATGAAAACGTGTGTCCATGACTGTCAAATACAGTAGTCAAACTACAAGTTTATTATTAATTCTAGTAAAGTTATGTAAATTGAATTTTGATTATTGTTTTAGGGAACTGGAAGAAAGTAAGGTAATCTGAGTAGTTATGTTCATCTTCTTTTTGTGACTTAATTCACAATGACTAATGTTGAATAAATAAAATGTTCCAGTTTTTCACAAAGCTTGAGCTGGAGGCATCATGAGGGATTGTCCGTCCGTCTGTCAGTACTTGCATAAGCCTGTCTCTCTGTCTTATTCTTATGAACACAATATCTCAGTGGTCATTGAGACCTCACTAGACACTTCTTTGTAAATTAGCTGTTTACAAATCTCATTAACATTTCTTCAAAAATGAATCATCTTATTGTTGCAATCGTTGTCACAGATTATTTTTCTCACACTGAATATTTGGTCCCTATCTCCAGTCTTACTGTGATGACCCAGACCTGGTCCTGGAGCTGAAGAACCTCATAGTAATCTTCGCTGACACACTACAGGTTGGTCCAGAGCCAGACTTTATTTGAACAGCTTGTGAATCTCAAGTGTTCGGAAAAACATGAACACACTTTGTTTTCTGTGTGTGTATGAACAGGATTATGGATTCCCAGTGAACCGCCTGTTTGACCTGCTTTTCGAGGTCAGAGACCAGTACAATGAAACTTTGCTGAAGAAGTGGGCGCTGGTTTTCAGGTGGGCTTTGCTGATGTGTCACTGTCTCTGATTTTATTTCTATCTATCATTTTATGTGAGAGATATTTGCATAATTTTGTGTTAAAATTTTGTGTTTCTCTGTCAGGAGTGAGTGTTGGTAGTGGTGGTGTCTAGCAGAACTTTAGTCATTTGCACAGTGTATAGAAAAGAGAAAGCCTGCTTAAAAGATCAGATCTCCATCAACACATTAAGAACATCTTTATCTGGCCACCAATGACACTTGTCAGTCTCACAAAACGTTTGCTCTTGATACTATCTTTGTTCTTTAATTTGATAAATTAAATTAGTTTAATCTGTTTGTTTACAAGATTGTTACTTAACCCTCTTAGCTGAGGTCCCTCCTTAATAACAAAAGCTATCAGATAAAGGTGTGTTTCTTTCATATGGTTGTGTCTTTGTTTAAATATTGACAGTGATTGTTGTTACTGATAACTACAATATAATTCACCCACATCATGTTGTCGTCTTTGGATGAAATTTATACAACACACTGCTTTTAGAACATCATATTGTGTAGAAGAAAGAATGAAAGTTCTACTACCAAAAATGGAGTGCACACAAACACTGAGCACTGTTCTTTTCCACAGGGAGATCTTTGAGTTGGATAACTACAGTCCCATCCCAGTGGAGACAGAGGATGAGTATAAACTGGTTGTCAGTCGCTTTCCCTTCCATGATGCCGAGATCGAGAAGGTAACAACTTCAAGTACCATAGACTCACAAAGCTTTACATGGAATGCAAGTTTTTATTACTTCATTCTACACACATATAGACACATAAGAGAGAAATGCATGGTTAGTTCAGATCAAATATTCAAGTGAAAAAATATTTTGGTTCACTTTATGATCGTGGGAGTCTTGATAATTCACAGAAAACTATTAGAGTTTTAGAATTTTGAAGAATGGAACTGGGGGTTGCCATTTAATTATTCCACTTAATGATGAAAAATATAATATTTCTAGAAGCATAGTTAAAAATGATTTTGTGAACGTTTGTCTATGTCCGTATACAGCAGGACTTTCCGAAGAAGCTGCCGATGTCCCAGTCTGTCCCTCAGATCTACACACAGGTCAAAGAGTTCATTTACGCCAGCCTCAAATTCTCAGAGTCACTACACCGCAGGTATGTCAGTGTATAATTACATTATGCTCAGTGTCGAACTCTCCAAAGGTTGGAGAGTTCGCCCCCCCACTCAGCGCATAGTGTCATTTGTGAAACATTTAGCACATCTTAAAGTTGCAGTGTGTAGAATTTAGTGATATCTAGTGTTGAAATTGCATGTTGCAGCTGAACACCCCTCACCTCACCCTCTCCTTCCAAACATGGAAAAGAACCTCTGGTAGCTTCAGTTGTCATAAAAACTCAAAAGGTGTTTAGTTTGTCCAGTCTGGACTAATGTAAAAAACATGGCGGCCTCCGTAGAGAGGGTCCCCTCGATGTAAATATAAAGTATTTGAATATAAAGGGCCTTTTCTGGGGTAAAGAAAACTACAATTCATACAATTTAGATGAATCTAACTAGTGAAAACATCATGAGGATTATTCTACATTACATTTCTGCCAATAGATCCCTTTCACTTAAATCTTACACTCTGGACCTTTAAGAGAAAATCATGGTTGAGGCGTTCTTTTCATAACATTACTGTCTAACATTTATTGAAAATAAGGACAAAAATTCATCAACAGACGAGTTTTCTTGAAAAAAAAGAAAACTTGTCCGTTGATGAGGTTTTGTCCTTATTTTTTGCTTGATCATTGTGGGAACTGTTGGGTTTCGCTATATTAAATACGATTTTAAGCTCTTGACCTTCTATGTAAAGTGCCTTGAGATAATGTATATTATGATATGGCGCTATACAAATAAAATTGAATTGAATTGAACTGTCAGTTAATCATGATAGAAACTAGAACACTTCCATATACTTTGAGTCTTCCCTGATTTTGTGGTTCTTTGTTGTGCAGCTTGAGAAAATGTGAATTCCAACTGACATTTAGTTTGTGTATCCAGTTCAACAGAGATTGATGACATGCTGCGGAAATCAACCAACCTGCTGCTGACAAGGACACTCAGCAGCTGTCTGCAAAACCTCATCAAGAAACCTCACATAGGGCTGACTGAGGTTGGAACCACACTGCTGTTGCTAATCAGTTGCACACAGCCACAAAGGTTTTACTTGTACGTCTAAAATAAATCATTCTTTCTGTAGCTGGTGCAGATCATCATAAATACCACCCACCTGGAGCAGGCCTGCAGGTATTTGGAGGAGTTTATAACAAACATCACCAATGTCTCCCCTGAAACAGTACACACCACAAGACTCTATGGCTTATCCACATTTAAGGTAAATTGAATGTGTCTTCATTTTGTTTTCATCCAAACATTATTTCTTTTGTTTTTGGTGCATGGAAGTGAACTCTTGACAAGCTGTCCTATTCATATTGAAAGCACCACGATCTTAGCCATAACACAGTTTACAGTATACTGCAAGTATAGTTGGAGACCGTATGTTAAATAAGAGCAACATAAGCAGAGAGTATAAACTTTTAATAATACATGGATCAGTGATTTATTTATTCATTTATTTATATTTATTTATTTATCTATACACCTACTTATTCATGTAATCATCCAATTCTATTTTAGAAGTGCAGTGTTTAAACCTTTGTAGATTCAAGTAAGATTCAGTTAATGTGCACATCCGTGATTAAAACATGTGATCTCAGTGAGTGACATTTTTGGTTTGGGTGTTTTTACACAGAATGGATCCATGGTTGATGAGATAGGTCGGAGGACAATGGTCAGACTGCTTTGGGCAGGACTTCCTGTTGGCGCACTCAGATGAAATAGATACAATCATTTATTGATATGCTCTACTAGGTCAAATTTCAATGGACTAATTTGATCAAGTTAAATAAAATTTGTTCTTTTAGCAGCTTAAAATGTATTTTTTCACTAACTTCTCCTCCAATAATAATTGCAATAATCAGTGTTGCAACAATACCTAAATTAATTCTGCCTAAATTGCTTATGCTTGGGGATTGGTTTTATGACAAAGATGAAGAATACTTGGATTTAATACTGAAGATTTTTCCTGACAAATTGCGAATGTTTTTCAGGATGCTCGTCATGCTGCAGAGGGAGAGATTTATACCAAACTCAACCAGAAAATTGACGAGTTTATCCAGCTTGCAGACTATGAATGGGGCATGACTGAGTCAGATGGTCGTGCATCTGGATACCTCATGGATCTGATCAACTTCCTGCGTTCCACCTTCCAGGTCTTCACACACCTTCCAGTGAGTCTAATCCCCCTGCTAACTTTGACCCACTGAACCCACCACTTCTCTCTCTGGGAACTGTGGGACATTGTCGTTTTGGTTTTGAGATTCCATTAAGCTATGAATAATAGGGATGTGATAATTCCTTGTTTTCTGCCTTCTTTCCGTGTTCCATCAATCCCTGTCTTGCTATGCACATCACATCCCTATTAAAGTGTGTCTACTATCTGAAAGTGAATTGATTTTCTTTGTGGATTTGTAAGTTGAACTGAGTGTTTTGCATTGGTGGTCTGTGGTTATGCATGGTAACTGTGCTGTTACTGACTCATAGGGTGCCATGACATTATCTACAACTGGATGAGGCACATTTGGAGATAGTAAAGTTTGAAGGACTTGGTCAGTAAATGTGTGTTTTGGCTGACAGCTGCAACCTGTTGGTTGGACCACTATGGACCGCCTGCCTGCCTTTCTCTCCATCATGTCTGATTTTAACTCAGTTTTTTGATTTTCAAGAATACCTTTTGGCTCCCATCCACACCTTCTGCAGTAGAACTGTGCTTGAACTGATTTGCTTTACTCCTTTATTATGTTGACTTGTTAAGCATGCAAAATATCGCTAGTTGAATTTACCTCCTCCAGTCCATTTATTGTTGCCACCTTTCTTTTCCTGTCCTTTCCTTCCTTCCCTCCCCCTCTTCCATTTTTGCTTGGTTTGGGGTTGTCTGCTCAGAATAACAACAATGACCATGCCTCGATGTCGGTGAGTATTCCTGCCTGACTGTTACAACACTATGCTGCCATCTGACAGGCAGTGGGGAGATGAAAAGCATGCTCATGTTTGACTGTGGAAGTTCCACTACTCCAGGCTTGTTGGTTCGCCTGGCTCCTTTTGTAACACTTAGTGAAAACCCTTGGAGAAAAGTGTTAACATCTAAATTTTTGCAAAGTAAAAAAAATAAGCGAAGGTAAGCAGTTGCTTCTCTAATGGCTGCTAAATACTTCCCAAGAAACTTAGCAGTGAATTCCATTATATTGAAAGGTACATTTTCAAATGAATAACACAATTCCATCATTAATTGAGCATATTATTAATGTTTTTAAATGGTGTACTATTTTGTGTTACTTTTATAAATCCTTTAATTTCAGCATTTACATTCTAATATCAGCTATTTATTTTTTAACTAATACATACATTTTTAAAATCCTTTCTTAATTCCTGTGTTTTTGGTCTATTTAGATATTGGTGAGATATGAAAGGTGTTAAATAAGGATTGAGTTAATGCATTTGGGTCATATTTTATCTACTCGCATCCTTTGCCCTAACCCTAACCCATATGACGTCATTGTACACTTTGTGTTACTCTAAGTAAAAGCATACTTCAAAGAAATGCTTTGAGAAATGCTCAGCCCTCAGTGGTTGTTGGTACAGAGAAGAAGGAGACACATGTACAACAATGAGCTGGAAAAGGTGCAAACGTTGCTGTAATTTGCATTTGTCTTCATTGCATCTTGCTGCCAAGTCACCAGGACTGCACCACACTAACACTAGCTATTTTTTAGAAAAGGTGTTTACAGGCCAAAACAACACACCAACAAAGTGCTGGTTGTTTTTGTAAAACTTTCTGTCTAGATTATAGTGAAGACAATAGTAGAAAAGCATGTCCTCTCTGGTCTTCCTCAACCTTTCTGTTGAGCAGCTTTCAGACATGCACTGATTTATAGACATTCTCCGGAGGGCCTCTATGTGAGAATGCATATGAGCGAATGAGAGCCTATATGGACTTTCCCCGGAATTTCTCTAGCCAGCCTCCTAGTACAAACTCTTTGGCAGGATTCACGAATGGGCATTTTGATGACGTTTCGAACATGCAACAGGTGCAAAAATGAAAAAAGAATACAAATATCACAAAAAGCAAAAGCATTGCCACTCACATACAGTAGAAGACACAGATAAAGATGTGAAGAGAGTTTTTGGTGATGAGGGCCGATGTCAGTGTGCTTTAAACAAACTCTGTAACAGAGTTAATACGTTACCTCTGTATTCTTACTGTGTAAGCAGGCGTTTCCTTCTGTTGACAAGCATAGAGTCCAAAGCCCTTTTCTTACTGGCACATGTCTGTGTTAATAGCCCCTGTGTTGGCTAATAGGCAAGCTAAAATCAATATGCTAGTATGACAATAGACTGTATGAGTATGACCTAAAGATTTTTTAGTCAAAAGACTGAGATGTGATATCTATTCAGTTAGAGTGAAGAGGCAGGTTTTACTGCCGTCACATCATTTATCACTGCTGTCTTTCTGCCAGTCAATTATCAGCATGAAGGATATTAACAGAGATGTTGTAGGGCTGAAACAAAGGAAGTTACACACTCATATCCCTTTGATAACACAAATGACTCTATCATTTTAATATGGATGTTTCCTTATGAAGCATTATTTCAATAAGACTTTCGTTGTGGTTGCATTGTCCTTGCCAATGGGGTCCGACATAATCCCTGTGAGACGTTCTGCATGAGTATCTGTGAGAATGACACTTAACTCATCCATTCAAGTTAAAACATGACTGCTCGTAAAAGGAGCAAAGTCAAGAAAATGTCACATAATGGAAACACACAATTGAATTTGAAGTTATAAGTTTGTGATGTATTATATGTGTATAGTTATTGATTGATATTGTGTTGTGCCTCATCTGCATGTGTTGGAATCTGGTTTGAATTGTTTAATTAATGGCACCGTAAACAGTTTTATATCTTACACTGAGAGGTTTTGTGATTTCAGTAATCAAAGCATGCTTTATCATATATTCATGACATGGTCTTAAAAATGTCCGGTATAGATAAGAATTGTTTAACGTGCAAGGATTGCCATTGCACATGCTCTTTATTAGGATAGTCAAGGGGTTGGGAACCTTTTCATCTTTTAAAATGTATGACTTGTCCTTCATTAAGTTCATGCTATTTAGTAGCTTAATAGCACATTTAGGGCTGGGCGATATGTCATATTGGTTGATATCGATATTTATCATGATATAAATCAAATCGCTGTTTGGGTCATTTCTGCTTCAGATGGTAAAAAAGATTAGTGGTATCACCTAAGTAGCCAAAATCACTCCACACTACCAAATTCCTCTGACCCTACTTTTCAACAACGTCCTCGTCTTTTGAGCCTTGAACTGTGTCCATTGGCTCGGTATTGGCTCGGTAACGCTGTTGCTCGAGTTTTCCTTAACATTTCTATCGTCATTTTCTCTTTTATCTCGCTCCCACTACTGACTTACTGGTGTGCACGACTGCAGTAGCCCAGACATTAGCACGTGTGCTGCTGCTCTATTTCAGCCAAACGATTGACAGAGATATTCGTTATTATGATTGGCTTTCCGTGTTGCCTGTCAAAACATGGCTTGAATGAGTTCTATTGACATTGAATCGACCATGTCTTATATTTCTATCAAGGTAAAGTTATTAATAGATAATAACGATAAAGCTAATTATCTTTATCATTTTATCGCCCAGCCCTTAGCACATTATACAAACCTGTTCGCTGAAGCTTTTCTTTTTTTAAGTCAAAACATATGTACATATACATTCATGTAAATGACTCAGAGATGTATTTTGTCATTAATTGTGAACATTCTATGACTTTCAGACATCTGACTTGTAACTAAATTAATCAATGGTCAGTTGTCATTGATGTTATTTCCTGTTGTGTTTACCACTGAAGGAAATGTCAGCATCAGTATGAAACGTAAAAAGGAAAAAATATGTGTGACTGAACAGCTCATGTATCCATGGATATCACATTTTTGTAGGGGTAGATACCACCAGGGACAAAGGATATATTTGGGCTTTGGGCTAACAAAGCAAAATGAGAAGAAAAAATGAAAATGGAATTCTTTACATCACCTCTCTGTGAAATGCACATTGCATTGGTTCACAATGACATTCAAATCCCATGTTTGTAGTGATGACTGCATATAACAATGGACAGCATGACATGTCTCTAAAAGTGAAGCCAAAACTCAATTCCTGGTGGCTGGCTGCAGCATAGGTCATAAACCCTGCCCCCTCCATGTTAGCAGATGGGACATGGACTAAATTACATCAAATTACATTTTACTTAGTTCTTATATTGCACTGATGTATGTTTAGGTGTTCCTTTTCTTTTACGTTTGGTTTTCATTAGTGATGTGATAATTTAAAAAATGGGGCTTAGACATCATGATTAACAGTCCGACTGGTAATTGGTCGGGCTGATGCATCCTCGATACTGTAGCTCCACTTCCCGATCACTAGACTCTGGCTCTACATGTCACCAGGACTAAATGTCAGCGCCCATGTCCAAGATATTTGGCTTCATTTTTTAAACAGTGGGGGGAAAGTGCATACAGTCTATTGACAGTACCAATAAAACCTCACACACATACATATGCCATGTTGTCTATTGTTTGCATATTGTGATTTATATCAACATTATGCATGATGTTGATACAAATCAGTGCACCAGTAAAGTGTTTGCTCTGATGTCAACATATATGGTGTAGAGTAGATAGACTGTGCATGCAGTGAGTGCTGCCTCTCTAGACTCCAGTCTTGTGCTTCCCTCGCTGAGGAAAGTTCTCTCAGCATGTTTGCAGCAGAGGTTTATTTTTTTGGTTTGTGTGTGCCTGTTAACAGACTGTTGGCAATTGGCTGTCCACTTTCCTAATGTTCTATCGTTACAGATAATATTCTCTTTATATAAACAGGCATTCATAGCAGCAGTCAAATCCAAGACAAGAATTTGTGACATGGCAGTGTTCACCCTGAAATGCTGATGCTAGAATCTTTGGATTCATTTAAACCGAAGTCATCATTACGCTCGGTTTCATCCATTCTTTAGATGCAATTTACAGCCCATATCTTCCTGACCCCTGGGCTAATTAGTAGATGGTATGAAGTGCTGATTGCTATGATTCTTTAAATGCAGAATTCAGGACGAAGCTAAGACCTAACGCTGAATTATATTTTTTCCTTCTTGCTCTTTATCCCCTATATCTATTTTTTCTCCTGTATATACTTCTCACAAACCTTTCTCCTGGTCCTTTGCCATTTAACCTTTTACTCCCTTGCCAATTGCTTCAAACTATCTCTTTTATATCTCTGCACTCTCTTCCCTTTCTTCTGGCCAAATCATTTCCATGCACAATGCCCCCTCACTTTTTTTTTATTAATGTTCACCCCTGTCAATGACCTCATTCCACCTCTTTTCCTTCCTTTGTTTCCTCATTCTCTTTCCTCATCCCCATCCTAATCTTTCCCACACGTTTCCATCTCTTCCCTCTGTCTTCACCCCTCCCACTGTCTCTCTCTCTGCAGGGTAAAGTGGCCCAGACAGCTTGTATGTCAGCCTGTAAGCATCTGTCCACATCACTGATGCAAATGCTGCTGGACACGGAACTCAAACAAATCAGTATGGGAGCCATTCAGCAATTCAACCTAGATGTAATTCAGTGTGAATGTGAGTATAAATATGTGGAATAGTTATTTTTATTTATTTAGCATCTACAGAGCTCGAAAGACACAAGGGGCGACATATTTAATACTAATTGATTTACTAATTGATTTTTATATCTCTGACTGAAATGAAAAACATATTTTCCAAGGTATGTTTTAAACGTGTTAAAGCTAAAGTTAAAATTTGCATTGAGGTGCATACAGAAATATAATTGACGTAATCAATAAAGACATTTTTGTGAAATGTACTGTATTTGTCTTCTGCGTGACAGAAGAGTGGCAAAACTCGTTCTCCTATAAATCCCTGTCCATGAGTCTATGATTATAATCAGTGTAAAAACCGGCCCATCAGTAATAATATCTGTCCCACAATATCCTTTTGATAACTTCAATTTTATTTAACCAAATTGGACTGAAACAGACATTCACAGGGGTCGTGGATGCTGATCTCTGTCATGGCAACAACATTAATAAAAGCAATTTCTCTACAAAGTAAAAGCACAATGTTTGTTGTTGTTTTTTTGCTGTAATGCAATCTGGTACGACTTCTTTTCTGAAGTCGTACAAGATTAAGTTTAAATATCAAGGTGAATTACAGCTTCTATTTGTGAACTTGGCTCTGAAGATTGTTTCGATTGATTCAATAAAAACGAGGATAAAGTCCTGACCCAATTCTGCAAGTTTCTCCACAAGACATGTCGGAAAACGGCTACAGATATGTTTAGAAAACCAAAAGAAATGCTTGTCAGAGTACTGAGAAGTTTATTTTTGTGTAAAATGTTCTGCTCAGTACATATTTGGTCACAATTCTTTAATAAGCAAATTAAAGGGATCTTTATCAAAAATGTTTTTCAAGTTTAATACTTCCTAATGAATAGATATTGGTACTGGCCTCTGAATTTCCACTACTTAATCTCCAGAGGCAAACAAGTTTTACATCTTTCATCAAAATTTTCATTTTCATCTGTACAAACAATTTTTCTTGCATCATCACAGTATCATTAAATATTGGAAACATTCTGAAGTCATTCGAATTGATTGATTGAAGTTGTCAGCTTAAGAGGAAGTGTTTATTGGCATGAACCTGTACCTCTTTGTTATCAGAGTGCATTTGTAAGATTGATGACTTAGCTTCGAGTTGAATTATGGTACATCAACACTGAGTTTTAACATTTTCCCAGTTGTAAAAAGATGATTTGGAGCAACAATTTTTGACACTAGCTTTGTGAACTGTATGCTGCAAGTTTTAAGTTATAATATTTGTTTCTTCTCAGTGTTTGCCAGCTCTGAACCCGTCCCTGGTTTCCAAGGAGACACACTCCAGCTGGCCTTCATCGACCTACGACAGGTAAAGTTTCTGCCTGAGCTGAAGTTACTTGTTTAAACAGATTTATTCAGCACAAGTTGGTAGTTATTTCATTTAAAGCTCACATTTTCATCCGATTAATCCATATCATCTTTCAGTCAAAAAGGTATGTGTAATGTCTTTTCTCTGTTTCTCCTGCACTGGTTCTTCCATTATTAAATGCTACACAGCTGTGTTGTGCATGCCATGATGCTCAAAAGGCTAACTAATTAATGAGCAGTCAATCACACATCGCAGAGAATGTCTGAGGAAAAGCTCTGGTTGAAGCACTGCATGTTCAGGCGTGACACTAAAGATCTGATGCAAAGAGCTGAGCATTTACAGCACAGAATAATTATGATAAAGGATGCTAAGAAAAAACATGGGACCAATTAGTATTTATGTGTTTTAGAAGCTGATGGCAGAGTGTCACAGTGAGGGCCTAAATAATCTTTGTAGCTTCGATCTTTTCAACCTTTGTACACTTTTCTTTGTACTTCTCAGCTGTCCCACGTTTCACCTCTCTGTATCACAACCAGCAATATTATGTTTCACTGGCCTTTTCAACTTTCACCTGTACTGTAGTTCACCTGCTCTTGAACACAGCCCCCCACCAACCACACATACACGCACGTTGCCCCCCTGCCCTTTTTTGTTGTAAACACCAGTGGTATGTAAAGTGCTGCTCCGTCTCATTAACTTGAGTCTGCGTTGACCTGTTAATCTGAGCCTGAGGTGGAGGCTTAGCGCTTCATCCAGTCCAGGTCACAGCACTATACTGAGGGAGTTTGTTGAAATCACTGCAAGCACACTGAAAAAAGTAAGATTGTTACTCGTAAAGTAATCTGGATAAATCACATTCCCTTCTGCATTTATTAAATTAAAATCTTGACGTGACATGACGTGAGTTAAATTCAGGTTTAAAAGACACTGAGTCTTTTATTTATTTATTTAGTCGACCTGAGTAAGATTTATGGGCTGTCATTTCCTTATAAATCCCTGTCATGTCATGAAAATGATAACTATGTCTTAGTTTCAGTCAAGTCACAACATGCGAAATCTTTCAACAAGCAATTCAACATATATTTAAAGCCAAAGTTCCAAATATAAATAGATAAAGAATTCATATTTTAGTTATTTTCAGGAAAGCCTACGAGAAATCAGCCACTGCTTATAAGCTCAACTTACTAGAGTATTTTTATTATCAATTGTTGATCATTTTCTTGATTATATCAGAATACTGTGGAAAAAACTTATTGCAAGTTGAGGTATTCTGATGCTTTGTCTTGTCCAGACAACAGTCAACTCAACATGACCAAAGATATAATGTGTCTGTAAATGTGACCTAAAAACAGCCATTATTCAAAATTAAGATTCTTAAAAGAAAATACAAAAGAATAGAAAATAAGAAATAAAAAAATTGTAAGACTTGATTGATAATTTAAACAGTTGATTTGTTTTATGTTGACTGACTTATCAACTAATGTAAAATGTTAACCTTTGCATAGTCTTTTGTATTATATTTTTGTTTATATTTGAATATATTTTGATTTAAAAAACGTGTCTTGTTCCAAATAAGATTTATTTTTTAATCTGTACAAATTGCTAAAATGCCCAAATTCCCAGACAAAATCAGATTATTCTGAGGAGACCTTAAATTTCCTGTGATGCACCTCATTAGACAAGATGTGTCCGTGCTTCTTTCATACATGCTGCTTGGTTGACCTATTAATCCCAGCCTTAGGTAAAGGGGTTTGGAGGCATCCACAGGCTGAGGTTACACACAGGTCATCCTTTTACTCTCCCTTTATCTTATGGCTTTACATTTCTAAGCTGTAACTGCATTTTAGATTGTTATCCTGTAAGCCTTTAGTGACTGAAAGTAAAAAAAATGTGTGTGATAGAGGGAATTTCCTTTAAATTGCTGATTTGTGAATGGATTTTTGTAGTTGTTGCTGTAGAGTTGATGTTAATGTATCAATTAAAACCATTCTACACCTCAGTCATTAAATGCGCCATTTAACAAACATGGTCTTAAAAGAACCTGTAGGTTTTGGTTTTACTTTATAGTTAAGATTAGCTTTACCAACCAATCAGAAATGTGAGTACAGCATGAAACTTAATTTCTACTCAGCAAGAGGAATCTCAAGTGGTGGAATGTAACGTCAACGTTTATTCTCATATTGCTTCTATTACTTTATTGCTTCTACTAATGTTAGCCTGCTAAAGAGCTAGCCCCAGTCTGTCTCATCATTGCAGCCTGACCCTGAAGAAGTAGTGACGCTCAGAGGACATATTATAACTTCACCACCAACCGGTAACAGACCGTCTTAGACGGCAGAACAATAACATCCAGAGATACCCTACGACCCTAGCTCATTTATGGGTTGTTTTTTTTTTTAAATTACCATTTTGATTTCTTTATGTGCAAGAAATATTTGTAACCTTTCATTGATTATTGTACTGCTGGTCTGTGAGGAATAACATGGCATAATATACACATCAAGTATTTTTCACGCTTCTGTGCTACTTTTGTTCACCTTTGACTAACGTGTGAATAATTACACAACTGTTGCCAAGGTCTGGGTAGATGGATGATGAGAGAAATGGCTGGTGCTGTCTCACACATGAAGCCAACATGTGTGACAGAGGCCTTGTATGCAGCATCCTCAATCACTCAGAACCATCATCCATCATACAGCTTTCCTAAGGTTTAAAATCTGAGACAGAACTAGAGGAAACATTTTCCTAACTCTTGACAAGTCCTTAGTGACAAAAAGAATAGTTTCATCTTCTCTTCTTATTCCAATTCCAACAGCAAGTGCATATTGTGAAAAGAAAGTGTTGCAAATATTCATTTTTTGTGACATTGAAACTGGTGAAATATCTTTTTTACCTTTTATTTTGCTGCGAACCACATGCAGCACAGGGAGGAAAAAGGCGAGACTCCAATTCTCTAGAAGAGCAGTGGCACTATGCCACTCAAGTTCTTCACTGTCACCTCACGTCCCGGCTCTATTCTTTCAAGCAGCATTCAAGCTCATTGTAAAAGTAAATGATGAGAGATTGGAGCAAGCTGTGAACATAATGACTCCCGGTAGATCTTGTTCTGTATTCTTACCTCTGAACCCTTGCACAGTGACATTTGACTACCACTCACAAAACACAGAGGTGTTTACTATTTCACTCGTATGATGACATGACTCAGCTTGCCCAGCAGGATCTGTTTTTGTCAAATATAGAATCATTGCACAAGAAAACTGCGTACACAACTATGGCAAGAACTTCAGGCCAAGGCTGAACCATCAAGTGATATGCTTGTGTTCCCAGGTCTCAATAATTCATTTGGTGGATACAATATGTCCATAACTGATGGAATTAATGATAGTCACAGGATCCTGTGAAGTGTTGTGAACTGTGGTGAGTTCAGTGAGTGGCTTCCTCTACGTGCCTGCTCATCACTTAGCTCCAGGTGAGAATCGTGGCATTGTTGCTAAGCCCCTCTCTGTGTGTCAGAGTCTCTCAGTCAGCTGAATAATGCTATTATCACTAAGCTGTTCTTTCACTGCTCTTTCAACATGACCCAAACACCCAGCTGTTTCACCCTGTGACATTAGCATACTTTGTGTGTGTGGGTGGGGTAGGGAGGTCATCTCCATCAGGTTATCCAGGGGTCGTGGGGTGGTCATTTTAAATGTTCCTGTTCACACTTAACACTAATCATGTAGCCGAAGAGGCACCCCCATTATCTTCTTCTCTCTTCAACCCTCACTCTTCTGCCTTGTCTCTTTGTCTCTGGCTACATCCACACTAATTTAGACATTTCAAACACTTAACTTCTGCTGCAGTTGTCAGCCATCCACACTTCTAAGTTTTTGAGCCCCTAAAATGTTGGAACTGCTGCAGGCCCTGTTTTATTTTGAAAACTTGGCAGATTGTGCTTTAGTCTGGACGTACAGAAACTGACATAGACCCCCCCCAGTTCAGACCTGGTATTAGCATCTGTCCCAAATGATCGGATCACAAGTGGTCAGCACTAAGTTCAGGTCTGGACGCACCCAAATGCGAACTCAATAAATCCTGAGATCCACTCATTCGGAGGTGGTAAGGGATGTAAGTGGCCACATGCTTTTTGCTGTGTGCAAAATGCATCATGGGCCATATGTGAAGGTCCACCTACTCAGCTGACAGTTTCACAATGAATCAAACATAATTTTTTCCACTTGTGTATTTCCATATGTCGATTTGTTTGTGGGCACCGCCACAATATCAATACTGCACATAAGGATTTCTATTTCTTTTCTTTTCAAATGGTTAAAATCTTTCCTCAGAGTAGATCAATGATTCACACAGCCCATCCTGTCACAGCTCGCCTTCTCTCTATCTCTCTCTTGCAACAACACACACTAAACACACACACAGGGGCGACTGTGGCTGAGGCTGAGGTGACCTTGTTACCGGTCACCTCAGCCTCCACAAGGTAAAATTGGAAAGTCCCAAATAATCATATTGAATTTGTAACTCCAAACCTCTCTTTTCAGCCTGAAAGTTTACATCTCTGTTTAGGAAAAAAACAAGATCCAATGGAAGTCCAGTGTTTTTCCTTAATTATCGAGACTGTGGCAGCCCACCACTTCTAATTTGTCCAAATGATTTTACACTAGCATACACAGAGCATAAGTGATTCAGACCTCATAGTTTCCAGCTGCAGTTGTGGTCACATGCAATGCAGTTCTTTCTCTTAGAGAGAACTTATCTTTCACACTTTAGTCTGTTTTTGTCACTATGAATCTGTTGCGCTTGAGAGTGACCTTCGTGCATATGCATCCCAGTTACTACAATAGATTTAATTCATTTTGAGGGAAACGCTGAAGTTTGTTGTTTAATTTATAGAGAAGTTTTGTGTTTGATGCTGTAGTTGTAGACCTATCTCCTGATTGAACACTTACAAACAAGTTGTTAATCTATGACACCAAACATGGGTTGACCATGTACTTCCAGGGTTTGGTTCAATAACAATAAAACATCTCAGGAGGGTGAAACTCTCCCAAATGTCCATAGAATCAAGGACAGAATCAATTATCTGATTATCAGTGCTTCTCATTTATCAGATGTTATTTACTGCTAATTTCATGACTTTAATGTGTGGCAGACTACAAAATACCACTATTACCTGTAAAAATGAATGGCACATGAATATCACAAAGAGATGTGGTGTATATCAGACCTGAGAAAAGTTAGTGGTATCACTACAGTTCCAATAACCTTACTTCAGCATCCAAAGATCATATATGAAATTGTTGAAATTCATACATGCAGTACACAACCAGAGACTGTGTGTGTGAGACTTGGTAATACTGTAAATACTCCATTGGTTTAAGAAAGGGGTGGTGTCTGGGTAGATGCTTGAAATGAAACTTCATCAATAGCCCACTCGCTCGCTGTGAAAGCTCCAGATATGACCTGTTCTATTGTCAAATTGGATCAGACATTACATAGACGTTACACTCGGGAGCTGTCAGTTGAGAGTCAGTTAAATGTCTGATTCAACTGATTCAGACAGTTGCGTTCACACACCCAGCTCCTCTGGTTAATGTCTACAAAAGTTCAGGGTTGCAGTGCATGTGCGAAAACAGCTAAAGAGACGCAAACGATCATGTGGACCTCTTCTGTTCACACTCCCCCATCAAACTCTCACTTGTAGTACTTTGTTTTTACCACTGTTAGGTTTTTGTCTTTAATAGAGTTATCTCTCTGTGTGTTTCATAGCTCCTGGACCTGTTCATGGTGTGGGACTGGTCAACCTATCTGGCAGATTATGGCCAGCCAACTTCCAAATACCTGAGAGTGAATCCAGCCACTGCCCTGGCTCTACTTGAGAAGTGAGTGCATTCCATATTGTAACACTACTCGGGACGTGATCTGCGAAGCAAGAAACAAATCAGCTCAAATGTCTTTTGAACCTTTTCAGTGCTAGGGTATGTCAGTGCAAAGGTGCGCAGTAATAACCATTCCAATGAGACACTAATGAGTCAAGAGTTTGTGATTGGTTCCAAAGTTGCTCTCAGATTAATCTGGGTATCTGTAGATCTTGAAAGGGCTTTAAGGTTCATGTGAGGGTCCCAGCAAACCCTAAGGTGGACGTGTGACTTCACATGTACTAGTTTGCATGCTTTACTTAAAATATGGTCTCAATCTTGTTCTTTCAATTGCCTACACTGTTTTAGGGGGAATATGAGTCTGTAACCCCAACTGTATGACATTGCATATAATTTAAAAGGTTAAAAGCTAGCTTAAAAAGCTTAGATATGTGTGTGGCTGACTTGTTTCTTCTCCCTCTGTTTTCTGGTTTTATTTTTCTTCCTGCTCCTCTAAATCTTGTTTTGTCTGCTGTTTTTCCTGCTGCTGCTCAGAGTCTACAGGGGGTAGGTGCAGCTTCCTCACTGCTTTTCTTTTGTCTTCTACATGCACACTCTCATAGGCATGGTTCTACTTCCTGCTCTTTAGCTCAGCACAAATGCTGCTTTATTGTTTGACTATGGGTAATACATTTTGTTAAAATCAATTCTTATATATGGAGGTGAAATTTTCATCTTTTCAAATTTTCTGACTTCCCTATTTAACCATCATACATTTACACTAAATTTTTTTTTACTTAAAACCTATTATAAAATCGTCTGACTCGGATATCAGTTTGTAGTGATTGGTTTCGTGTATACAGTATATACATATTAACTATTGATACCCCAGTTTGCAGATAATTGAGAATATTGTCTTAGTCTATGCGTTCATCCATCCATTATATATAATGCTTATCCTTTGAGAGGAGCTGGAGGAGCTGGAGTCAATCCCAGCTAACATTGGCTGAGAGGTGGGGTACACCCTGGACAGGTCACCAGCTCATGACAGGGCCAGTACAATACAATACAATACAACAGACAAACAACCATTCACACTCAAACCTACGGCCAATTTAGTTCCCCAATTGTTCTAACCCCAAATACATGCCTTTGGACTGTGGGAGGAAGCCAGAGTTTCTGGAGAAACATTTAAACTCCACACAGGAAGACCTCCAAACAAAACTGGGAGTAGAACCGGGAACTGGATATGGTTTATCATAAATAGTGAATAACAGATAAAAAAAATGCAACTGTAGCTTAACATTACAGAGGAATATATCCGGTGTGATCTCAAGTTATATACATATTGTTTCTGTGATTACAAAATTTAAACTATAAACTATAAACAAGGCAAACAGCTGAGAGAATGTATATCTGACAGCCTCTTCCTCTCTGTTTCTAGGATGAAGGACACCAGTAAGAAGAACAACATTTTCTCTCAGTTCAGGAAGAACGACCGAGATAAACAGAAGCTGATAGAGACTGTGGTCAAACAGCTGAGGAGCCTGGTCAACGGAATGTCCTCATGAACACACACACACACTGAGTGTTGTCACAAAGAGATAGAGTGAATGAAACATGCATGCAAACACACAACAGGAAGAGACGGACGCCTGGCACACACACATGCACACACACACACACACACACACACACACACACACATGCACACACACACACACACACACACACACACACACACATGCACACACACACACACACACACACACACACGGCACAGCAATACACACTGTACAAGGCATGCAGGGAAATTAAGCAGACACACGATGTGTATGAAGTCATGTCCTCCCCGTACTGTTTAACTACACTTAATATCCAATGTAAATAACACACACACACACACACACACACACACACACACACACACACACACACACACTTAACAGTTTTATTGGACTGAGCATTAAAATGTTTGTAGTATTTTCATGATGATGATAAGACAAGCTATGTTTGTACATTTGTGAGAGTAATATGATTGTACAGTGTAGCTGCAGAGGGACTAGTATAGCACAGGAAGTGACACTCTTAAGTACTGGCACAATGAGGTTAAAGGTCAACAACACTTTCTGCCCCTCACGTGAATTGGATGAGATACATTTATCAACGCTTGTGTTATAAACAAAATAACAGTCCCTCTCTTCTAAATGGATGGTGTCTGGAACACATTGTTTTGCTTTTTATTTGGATGAATAACAAATAATTGTTAATCTAGAGAGATCAAGTTATTGGTAATCGACTGATAAACTGTTAAAATAACCCACTATTACTAGTCTTGCCAGATGGTCTTATAAAGTAGATGTAATGAAACTACAAGCTTTATCTCAGTAAACAATTCAGCATAAGTCTCTTCTGAAACCCGGTTGTGCACCAGTTTAACATGGCTCTCATGTTAAAGCTAAGAAACCACCACGTAACCTTTTACTGTCGACTTTGTGTCCATGCATCAGATCAGTAACCAGTTTTCTTTACTACCCATGGCTTCACTTTGAATCCTTGGCCCCTCTTATTGGTGATACAAGATGCTGCTTATCTTCATTTAAAATAATTTAGAAAAAGGAATTACTGTAACCCAGTGTTCTGTAAACAAAACAAAGAAAGTCATTTACGGGAGGAATTTAGCAGGATAAATATATCGGGTCTTTCTTATCCTCCTTAACTTTAACAGATGGCTGTAATCTAGATTATATGGTTCTGTTCAAACATGTCTCTCCACATGTGTGTCCTGTGACACATTCCCTCGTCTTAAATTATTTAATTTAATGTCTGAACAAAATTCAGATGCTTTAAGACCTGTACAGATTTTGAGTGTAACATATAAATGTTTAATTTCAAAAACACCTCTCGACAACAATTGGGTCAAGCAATCGTCTTGCTAGATGTTAAGACTTATCGGCCCCACCCTGACGTATTCTTACCCATAACACCATTCTCTCTGTAAACGCGCAGACACATTTACATGGATCATTTTATTCTGAATAGTCACATAAACTCCCTGCACGATCGACATCATTAAGAAGCACGCTGTGACCACATGTGCTGCAGATTCTGCTGAAAAATCTCACTGCTTCCACATGGTTGTCACCTTCTGTCCATGCCCATAGAATTATGGGTATGGGACTGTAGCCTTAGATGGCTCTGACCAAGTTAGGCTCATTGTCCCAATACCCAAACTCTTGTTCCTGTGTGTTTGTGTGTGGGTGTGTGTGTGTTGTGTGTGTGTTTGTGTGTGTGTGTGAAGATGCTGAGGTCATGGATTTGGGGAAGAATAGAGGAGTGGATGATGACGTCTTGAAAGACTGATGTTCATGAAAAGGGTGAAGTTTTGTCTTTACTCCTTTGTAGCTTTGTTTTCTGTCTGTCTCATGTTCTTCCTCATATTGTACATTTAAACTTTTTGCAGACAGAGCCTCGCAGTGATTGAACATGGACGAGTTTGTGATTGTGAGTCTTTGACTCCCAGATTGAAGTTTGAGACGACATATGTTTTCTGCATGGAAGAATGTCAAAAATATGGCTGTTTAATGATTTGCCCCAATATGTGTGCACAAGTTGGATAACATAACACTTGAACTAACTAATGCAATTCATGCAGACATAGGTCAGAACATTGCAAATTGTTCTAATGGATTATATCAGATTGTACACATGAACACATCTAGGTTTATACAGGAAAGGGTCCATGGAGCCTACAATGGTTTGGGGTTAAAGTGTCAAAGTGTGGACAGCATGCAGCCATCCTAACAAAGGCATGTGATGCCCTCACATGAGAAGTATGCCTCGGCCACAGGATACTAACACCTGATATTAAAATGCAGTCTCTGGTCCCACTGTATAAGATGTAAACAAATAGACATCTCATCCTCTGTTCATAGTAATCTGTTGTGTAGTTAATCTGACAGCACTGCCAGAGACAGCACTGCCGAGATGTTTTCACCCTTTCTTTGTACGCAAAAACTACAGGATAGATTACCACAAAACTTATTTGAAGGATGTGTTATGAGTCAGGGAAGAAGACATTCAATTTTGTTGTCGATCCGGAGCAGAGGGTGGATCTAGGATTTTGAACTTTCTATAACTTGGCGTGATAGGGCATTTCCCAGAGAATAGTTCGTGGATCTTGGTGGGAAAAAAACTGGCATATTGAGGGACCTTGATTTCTATGACTGTGCAATTTGCTGCAGCTTGATTGAATTTAAGGGAACTGTTGGCTCTCGGTGGAAGTATGCCATTCTATTTAACCTATGTTTTCATTCATTTCGTCAGACTGTTGAAATGTCCCTAGTATGCATTTCATTTGAGAAAGAGAAAGGCCTCACAGTATTTCTTCAGGACACTGGAGGAACAATGTGACAGTCTTATTAGCCAAACCAGAAAATAATACTAAGGAGCGTCTCTACTGGCTGCGATTACATTCTTTAGCTCAAATATAACCACGTCATCAAGGGTCCGGCTCAGAATAAAGAGTTAAGGTGAGAAAATCGTTTTACAGGTGTAAAGGTGTAAGGTCACAGGCCTGTAATCATAGGTTGTTTTTCAGAGTCAGGTGACATGTGAGTACGGGATGGTACACTTCAGTGTTCACAGACCAACTGGACAGTGAAACACATCCTGGTCAAATCTGACGACCTGTGGCTGTACTCACTGATTGCAGCCAGAGCGACTCAGTAGTTGTGCGAGTGGTTTCCTGTGGAAGGTGACAGTGCATGCACTCTTCCTCCCTCTGTAAATCCCTTCAGTTGTACAGTGAAGGATATTATTTATGCGAAGTTAACAGCCGTCCACCCAAATGATTTGATTCACACTTTATATATTAAACAGTTCCACTTGCATTCTAAATAATTTCTTTTTGTTTCTCAGGGTGAAAATAAGCTTTAGAATAAAATAACCCATAGACATCTACAAAGCACAGCAATAATAATTGGTTTCTTTACAGCCTCACAGGCACGTTGAGTAATTAATTAAAACTTGCACAGGACTCCTGATAAAATCATTTTGTAATGAGATTGTTTCTATTCTGTTTATGTTTTGGGTCTGTGCTCTACTTTTAGCATTTTTGCACTGAAGCTGATGATTTTGATTTTTTTTTTTTTTTTTTTTTTTTTTTTCCTTTTTAATAGTTGCTTGTAAATCCCACTGTATATACTGCATATTTTGTAAAGAAACTATTACAGCAGGTTGTCTGCAACAATCTGAACTGGAGGTTGACACTGTGCTGTGCCCCTCCGTCAACACCTACAGTAAATATGTAATTAATACAATTCTGAATTTGCTTTGTTTGCTTAATTGGTGAACACAGTTGAGTGCAGTATGAAGAGCTCAGTGACTCATGTTGGTACCTTCTCTCCATTCAACACAGGCAGACAACTTAAGGATGGTTCCAAGATCAGTTTTAGTGGCAGGGGTTCTGTGCAAACACCTCCTCTCTGGTTCTCCTTGTTAAAGGCCTGTGTCATTCAGTTCTCCTTCTCCTGCAGGTATTCAAGTCCAGTTTCCCATAACTTATCTTATAAAAGCCAATACTTAAATAACAGTCAAGTCTGAAATGGAAGCAGGACTAGTCTAAACAAATACAAGCTAGCTAAAGAACATTGAGAACAGGTGTAATAGCTGTACTCTGGAGACACCTCCTATAAAATACAACCCTGTCTCCAAGAAATCTCATTGACACTATGTGCTACTAATTACCAGAGGCCAGGACTCTTGACTGTGGGTTCTGACGCATTTCCCTTCAGTTATGGTCCAAACCATTCATCAGAGTTTTACCACAAATTGTTGCTGCAAATAATTTGAATACAAATGAAATTTCAGTAGGAGACATGGTTGTTAAAATGATAAAGTACTGGGTAACTATTGAAACTGGACTGGTTCACTGCTCTCTGTACCTGAGGGAAATATTTGCTTGTATATTGTGATTCTTAGAATTCAGAGAAAAGGTGGGACAGTTGTTCTTACCTTGACAGAGATGGAGAGTGGGTGGAGAGAGGGTACATGTTAACAGCTTTACCTTTGTTGTTCTCAGTGAGACACCCTGACTGAGATGTTGTTTTCCTACATTTGTCGTTTTTATTTTATGTGCTGTAATAAAATCATATTCAACAGGAATGTCTGACATCATTCTGTTTGGCCGCATGAAATAACATTTGTTATCATTGTTCATGGAGCCCTGTAGCGAGTACTCCTGTAGCGCTGCCATGAGGAGGGGTCGTGAACTTTGTGATGAATAATTAAGGTTAATTCGAGCTGATTACCAGTTGGCTCTGATGTGGTTTTGGTAATTTCATATGACATGAGAGGTGTAATCATGCAAATGTTTGGGGTCACTGTTCAGCTCTGTCACTGGAAAAAACAAGAAACAATGAGAGAATCATCTCTGTCATTTGTTTTCAGAATTTTAAGTATTTCTCAATGTTTAAAGCAGTTTCTGAAAATGTTTGCAGATAGGTAGCAACAAAGATGTCCATGAAGATAAGTTTTATATTTATCAACCTCGTAATTGCATATCTATAATGATAGATTCATTTTATTGATGCTGTTTCAAATGATTTATCTGATTTATTTGTCAGTTACATATGTAGCATTGAGGATGCAGCTGAATTAAAACACGTTTCTCATGAGTACCAGTAGACGACAAAAGCATTCAAACTAATCTTT